ATATCTACTGATCTTAATTAGATATACAAACCAGAACTGCAAGAGGAGCTCCGTTGAGTTCCTCGGCGACAGGCTCCGCCCACAGGAAGCCAGTGTGATTTTTTTTAATGTGTGAACTTCATTGCAGTGCTCTGTGGTGTTCTTGTAGTAAAGCAGATCTGTAGGCAGTTCAGATGATACAAGTTTTAGGGTTTAAAAATGCATATTATTTCTTGCTTGCAGCTTACAGTGTCTTGTAGAGGCATACAATCATTGTTGTGTCAAACAACAATAAAGAACATAGATCTTAAATCACTTTATTAATAGTTACATGATGTGAAGATGTAATTATTGGGGAAATGGCTATAGTATGTTGTGAATTAGTGGGAAGTAATTCCAAAAGTTCCTTTTGCATTTGCCATTCCATTTTGCAAGATGTTTTCTTGATAATGTGCTTGGAGTTGTTTTGGTAGAAAAACTGAATGAGTCTCAGCTCTGTAATTTAAGCAGCTCTTAAAGTATATATGTAGTATAAAATTATAAATATGCCTAGTTCAAGTCTGTTTATAAAACCCATTGTCTTCTTAATTTAGAGAAGATTTGGATCAAGCTATTGAGGCATTCACTTTATCTTGTGCTGGCTACTGTGTAGCTACTTATGTCCTGGGTATTGGAGACCGACACAGTGACAATATCATGGTCAGAAAGAATGGTCAGGTAAGAGTCAAAATATTAATGGGAACATGTTTGTTTGGAATGTTCCAGTAGAGACATTCACTCCCAGCTCAGAATGATGATTGCTATGCGGCTTTCTGGCATGCAGTGATCCTAACAGTGATTTTGTCGGAAAAAAAGTTTTTTCACAGTATATTGTTAAGTTCATCATTCCAATAAAATCATTCTATAAATATTTCATTTTCTAACAAATATAACATTTCCACATAATAGGAAAATAAGGCCATGACTTTAAAAATATTTTTAAATAGGCTTTTGAGTAAGTTCATGCTTTGCACATCTTCTTTGATACGTGACAATAACTTCAACCTTGGATATGTGTGAAGTATTATGTATTGATTTAATAAAAGAATCATTATAGTGCTCAATAACTCAAGAGTTATTATCTGCTCAAGCCTTTTTTCTCCTCTTGGCTTCCTTGCACTAAATGCCATTCACAAGATGTCTTCCTTATGCAGCAATTTTCTCTCTGTGAGTAAGCAGCTAGCACCTGTTTTGATTGACCCCCATCCTACTTGGCAAACATTAAATTGTTGTTTAATTCAATAAGGATGGGATTAACTCAAAATTCTTAATGGGCTTATATTTTTTTCAGGCAGCTATAAAGTAGCAAATTAACCATTGCCAAACATATAGCTGAAAATACTTGCCTAAATATAAATTCTTTCCTGAATGAATACTTCTAAGCTCTAAATTGACATTAAGGACTGAAGATTAAATATTTCACTACACCAGAAGCTCACCTTGTTCCCAATACTCTTTTACCTTTCCATCAACTGACCCAATAGCCACTGCATTTCTTCTAGTCACATCTTCCTCTCCCTTCCAAAGAGAAATAAGTTAATCATTTAGGTGGTTTAATTGAAAAGATGCAAATTATTCATTGAGAATTTGCAATTATTCATTGTAATTGATGAGATGCAGTTTTAATTCATTGCAGAAGAATTTATAAATAAAATAATAGTGTTTTGTTATGAATAATATGAATATTTTCCCATAAATAATGACTTATTATGTTTTCCAGCTGTTTCATATAGATTTTGGTCATATTCTTGGAAACTTCAAATCCAAATTTGGAATTAAAAGAGAACGAGTCCCTTTCATCCTTACATATGATTTTATTCATGTCATCCAGCAAGGAAAAACTGGAAACACGGAAAAATTTGGTCGGTAAGTACTAAGCGTGTTAGAATAATGTAGTTCTGGTTTAGTCTTAGATCCATATGTGACAGAATCAAATTGATGCTATACGAAACCTTGGTTGGTGAGAGATGGGAGATTAAGCAGGGTTAGACCTGGTTAATATATAGGAAAGCTCCATACTGTCGGATAGGAGTGGAACATTAAAAGAAAAATCTAAGAAAGCAATAACAACCCTTTTGTAGCCAACAACAACCCAAAAATGAAACATATTATCCATGTAAATGGACATATTCAGGTTGTTAATGTCTAGCTTTGTATATGAAAGAGGGCAACTGATATGATAGACATTATAAGAAAAGTAGTCTTTTTATAAGCATTCTTCTGTACATCAGATCATCAGAACCACTATTGATTTTTAAAGGAATTCTTGGAGTGAGTGTGTGTGTGTGTGTGTATGGACACACATGTGCACACATGCAGTCTATTATTTTTACATATAAAATATGTTTTGCTGATCACAAAGTCATATATTTGAATTATTTGGAAATGAATAAGGTCTCCTTTTTTTAACAAGAATGAAAATGATTTTTTTCTACTTGTTAGAAAACATGCAAAAGTATTATCATGAATGTCTTAAGAACATAAATGAAAGTTGTTCTTGGAACTCTAAATGTAATAATTGGAGAACCACTTTTTCAAACAATATCCATTATTCAGTTGGGGGATTAATGTCTTTAAATTTATATAGAATAATCAATAAACAGTAGTAATACTGTGAAATGTTATTCTTTCTCTTGGAGTATAGTCAGAAAAAATTGTTTCCAATAACTGATATCCAGGATTGCATGAATTCATTCTTAACATCAGATATGAATGCAATCATATTTCTGATCCCGAGGAATCTTTACCTATGATGTACTTACTTGTTCCATGTCTGTATAAATATTTCTCACTCTAATTTGGATTATAATACACAGTTTCATTCTGTCAAATAACTGGAGTTACCATGCTCTTAAATATGCTGTTGCTAAGTAGGAAGTAGAGCAAACTATTTGCAAATAAGTACTTTTCCGAATGAATAAGCTGTACGTCTTTTTTTTTCAAAGAGTTGCAAAATAAGAAGCAGTGATGATGTAAGCATCAACTATCAGTGATGAATTCATTTTGTTCATAAATGTCTTAAACCAGACCCTCCTGTGCAGTCTGTCTATTTTTATTGCCCTGATTTACAGTGTCTGTTTTTTAATGCTAATGTTAAGGTTCCGCCAATGCTGTGAAGAAGCATACTTGATCCTGCGAAGACATGGCAACCTATTTATCACTTTATTTGCACTGATGTTAACAGCTGGGCTTCCAGAGCTAACCTCTGTTAAAGACATCCAATATCTAAAGGTACATCTCTAATAATTTAGGGATATGGAGAAAACATGTTCAACTCCTTCCTTGTTGGCAAAACTCATTTCTTAATTTTTAGTCAGATCTTATGCTCTCCAAGAAAACTTGATATAGATTAAATAAATAATTAAAAGCGTAGTCAGATAGTATTGTATATTTTTTCTAAATTTTGTCAAAGCTTTCTCAGAGTAATTATCTAATATATATAAATATATATTACTATTTCTCATACAAGATGAACATATGCATCTACCTAGATAGCAGTATTAATTTCAACTATTGTAGTAGCATCTTCCTAAAATCTCAGGCAGAGACCTTGAACAGCCCTGCCACAATATCCACCTCAACTCCCTAACCCAGGGATCTCCACAGTTGGCTACTTTAAGACTTGTGGACCTCAACTCTCAGAATACCGCAGCCAACATGGCTGGCTGGGGCATTCTGGGAGTTGAAGTCCACAAGTGGCCAACTTTGGAGACCCCTTGCCCTAAACTAACCCAAGATACTGTATTATTGAAAGGCTGTTCCCCTCATGCCTTTTCATTTATCATGATGGCCAGACCAGACAGGAGTTCAGCAGTATTTGGAAGACATCATGTTGCCCATTCTTTCTCTTTAGAGACTCTTTTAACTTATTTCTTGGACAATGTGTGTGATAACATATAATTTATGCACTTTTCTAATAGCTTCCACTGAGAAAATACGCAAGGATACATAAATTTTTGCTTGTTTACCCATTTGACTCCTCAATAATTCTTTAATAAACAGGGCAAAAATAATTTTCCAAAAAGTGAACATCACTTTTATCATTCTTATGTAAAGAATGGTGCAGTAAATATGTTTTCTAGCTTAAATCACATTTTAGAAAGGACTCTATACCTGGAACTTTTCAGATTCTTTTTTTACTGAACTGATTCTTTCATGAAGGAATATTTTATTGTTAATTTTGGTTTATAAATAAATATGCAATTGATATTTACTCAGCATCTGCAAACTTTCAGCTTTATTTATTTATTGTTTGTTGTATAGTAACATAAATTCCTTTCACCTAAAAGTAAAAAATGCTAGCGCTATATCATATTTTTGTTGAGTTCTGCAAACCCATAGGAATTAAATGCAGAATAATAAATCTTGTCAACAGTTTGCAAAATAATCTGAAAATATAGTGCACACAAGACAAATAACCATGTTTTTGTTACTGTTCTTAGGACTCTCTTGCCTTAGGAAAAAATGATGATGAGGCATTAAAACAGTTTAAGCAGAAATTTGATGAAGCACTCAGAGAAAGTTGGACTACAAAAGTGAACTGGATGGCGCACACAGTTCGGAAGGATTACAGATCCTAAATGGTGGATGAATTTGCACTAACCTTAGAAGTTATCCTGACAATAAAGCATTAAAGGAGAACAAAAACCCTAACTATTTTAAAAGACACCCAAGAAAATTACCTAAAGATTCCTGATTGTTTGGCACTCTGCTTTGGGAATGTTTCAACAAGATTTTGCAGAGTCAGTAATCGCTTCTGCTTACTTTGCACACTGAAAGTGACTACTAAAATTTTATATTGTTTTGATACAGTGTAAATATTTGGGATTTTTATTGCTTAGACTCGAACTCTGATTAGATAGAGATTTTTTTTGAAGAACTGGTACTAAACTTCACTAGAGGTTTTTACGCCTTTAATTTTGCTTCAAGTGAACTTTAAATGCATCAATATATTTTTACTGGCATAAACATACATTCTACATACAGCATTATAATATTGCACAACTAATAGCTGCTTATTGGTTTCTACTGCTGCCAGAAAAGAGAACTCTATACTGTACTTAAAAATGGGAAAATGTAAACAGATTATGCCTTTTATTATATATGTTGTATAATGTGTTCAGTGTAATGTTTTAAATTTTATGTGGAGGAATTATATTTAAAAGATTTTTCAGCTCTTGGAAAATTCTACAAAATGGACTGCTGAATCTCTTTTTAAAAAATCCATAGCATCTGAAATGTTGGATAATGTCAATAAAAAGGAGTTAGCCTTTCAGTTTTCCAGTAATATCTGGAACAGACAGATTGTCCACTCCCGTGTAATATATGTAAGCATAAAAACGAATAAATATAAAACAAAATCTCCTTACAAGGTTTATATATATGTCCCAAAATCTGTGTTTGTTAAAACCTAGAGGTTTGAAGAAAAGTTCCATTTTTAAAAGGAATCTCAAAATGAAGACAAATCCACTATGCTATACTCAGTGACAAAACATTAAAAAGGAAAAAACAGATGAATTAAAACAAACAATTATATGAATGATTCTGATTCTTTTGCACCTTGTTTGGGAATGCTTCAGCAAGTTTTTGTAAAATTAGTATTCTAATTCTGATTAGAATTCTGATTATAATTATTATAACTGTCTGATTCTGCATGTTGTAATATTCTTTGTGATAAAAGTATTTTCCCAGGATGTTTGTATTCAGCCTTAAAATGACTGTGATTGAAAAACTGGACATACTTTAATTTATGAAACGAGGTACCATGTTTTAAGGCAGCATGCCCTAACCTTTTGGGCACTAGGGACCGGTTCTGTGGAGATACGTTTTTACACAGACCAGAGGGGGGCGTGATTTCATGTGCTGCCTACATCCTGTGGATGAGACATCACTTGTTTGCGCAGCCCAGTTTCTGCCATGTAACGGATTGGTGCCAGTCCATGGACTGGAGGTTGGGGACCCGTGCTTTAAGGTGCTTAAAAGAACAGTTCAAATTAAAAGTGCAATAGAATATTTTTGGTTTAAAGATATAACATGAAATATTTGAAAAAATGGCAAAATGTATTTGTAATGGGCTCTTGCTTGCCAAAGAACCTAATAGCTGTTAATTTCTGTCATGGGTGAGTGAACATATAATCAAAACAGTGATTTTTAAATAGAATTGCATAAAGACTATTATATTTTGTCAAAGACTTGTTTCATTAAACATTGTGAATAATGAATGTAGTTCTTGTTTAAAATCTTGTTAAAATGTTTGGTCAAATACTGATAATACAAGTGTGTAGCTAAATTACAAAATACATTGTATTAACAAGCTTTCATTATGAAGTAATTGTTACAGAATATCCCCATTCATTTTCATTATTGAAAGGTCAATTTTTAGCTTTCATTTTCAGTTCATTGCTTTAAATGATCTTATTACTATTAATTTTAAAATACATATTTTGCTACTGATGACAATGGAATGTTTTAAATCATATGAGCCTTTAATATATTATACTAATGATTTCCATCTGTTTCACCCCCATCCCTAGTTTGTGCCTACTGAATTTCAGACACAGATAAAGTCAGTTTATATATTGCCTTAGGTATCAATGGGAAACTGTCTTTTGTTCTTTCATTTGTAACTCCTTTACAGTATATGGTGTGAAATGTTTAAGGCTTAGTTATGAAAAAAAAAATCAGATTACCAAAGTTAGCTCAGACAAAGTCCCCTATTCTGTATAATTCATTCCTGTCAATTTTACTATTCTACCTTCCTCCCCTTAACTCATACAGCCCACTGCTATGTATGTTTTTTCAGCAGAAACAGAAATAATGCAAGTGAAAACAATGAGTAATGAATTTTACTTTTGGAATTCATCCATTGAATTTAGCTGGTTTTGTAATTGAAATGAATGAGATGTATTCATTCTTTTAGATTATTAAAATGAATGCACATCTGCATGAATAGCAACTGTGCTTTTCTGAAGCGTCTTTGTTTTGAGACACTTTGATATTTGTCATATAGCTTACCTTGTATGTTACATGGCATCAAAAATTGTTAAATCTTTTCCATCAATTATTGTGGGTGCTAATGGAGTATTATTACAAATAATACAAAGATACTTTCCAGTTGAACTCAGCTCCTGGTGCATACATTGGTACAGTATATCCATGCAATTTTTATAGCAGCAACGAGGAAGTGATTTGTCATTATTCTTTCCCGGGATGCTGGATATTTGCACTAGTTGCACTTTGTCGCTCCTAAGTGACGATAATGGTACTCATCTTTTTACTTTCACCTTCACAAACAGAACAGCTACTTCGGATTTTTCTTGTTTTCATCATCCTTCCAAACAGAAAAGGCATGTTGGTATCACCTTATTTATATTTTATTAATTCACAAAGGGAGATGCAAAATAATGTATTAACTACTGAATCATCGTGCTGATTCCTTATTCAAGCTACCAAAGAACAGAGCGATACATGGAGAATGATACACCAGTTGCACAGAGAAATTTCATAAAAGGTACAAAGATGTATTAGATAGTTAATGTAAGATGTGGAAAGAGGCAAATAATATTTTTAAAAAGATTTGTCTTTATTGACTATAGGAGGGGAGAGTTTGTGTATATTATGACAATGAAATATACTAAGATTATAGCAGTTCGACTTATATACCGCTTCATAGGGCTTTCAGCCCTCTCTAAGCGGTTTACAGAGTCAGCATATTGCCCCCAACAACAATCCGGGTCCTCATTTCACCCACCTCGGAAGGATGGAAGGCTGAGTCAACCCTGAGCCGGTGAGATTTGAACCGCTGAACTGCAGATGAAGTCAGTCAGCTGAAGTACTGCACTCTAACCACTGCGCCACCTCGGCTCTTATGGTTATGCCACAATATTTTATTATTCTTCCAAATAACTTTTACAATGAATAATTATTGAATTTGGAAAACAGGTGGCTCAGAATGGGAAAAGACATGAGAAAAGGATGTTTGTTATCCCAGCATATTTTACTTATATGTGAACATACAGAAATGGCAATGTTAGAAGCAATATCAACTGGAATCAAGATAAGTGGTCAAACACATTCTGAGATGCATAGATTACAATTTTGATATGGTTACTAACGAATAGTAGACATTTTGGTTCCAGACCAAATAAATCCCTCCTTAGAGCAATAAGCAAAAATTTAACAAATTAGTGTAGGATGAATGGGAAGATAAGGTAATTGAAAAACGGAAAGACAACAAACAAGGGTGAATTTCCTTGGATGATTATTGAAGACTGGCTGAGATAATGAATGTTTGTCCATACAGTCACCAGGAGATGAGCCTGACTCGGTGACAATTAATTTACTATGGGAAGTCACTATTAGGTTCAAATGAATGATTTCATTATTGGGGACTTCAGAACTCCAACTTCGCATTCTACTTGATTTCTTAGAAAATTTTCCAGTAGTTTAACCTTATTAATCTTCTAAGACAAGTCATCCAATAATTGTCACCATGCTTACAATATTTCATTAAAGTTATGAAAATGATTTTTTACTTAATTGGATGATGTTCTCTACATGAAACAGAACCCATAAAAGACCACTGTGATTCATACAAAAATGTTTTATGTTTTAATAAAATGTATGCATGCAACAAACTGATTAGGACTACCAGTCCTCATTGGACTGGTAAGAAACAATTTACATCAAGAAAGAATGAACATCAAAGAAATATTTCTTAGTGGACATTTCAGAACCACTCAAGCTTTGGAATGATATAAACAGGATGAATAAACCAAAACCATAAAATATATATCTTTAGTATAAAATTGACCAAAGTTGGGAAGGTGTGCATTAATGTGATAAATCATTAAATGCAATATTTTAATAATATTTTAAGAGTATCTTTATGTCCACTGCTTTCTAACTATTATTTGTATAATTTTTCTGAAAAGATCCACAAGCATGAGGCAGCAGGAATCCATGACCTACTTTTTTCCTCCTTTAGTATGGATTAATTTTATTATAACACAGAAAATATCTAAACTCATGAAGGGAATTATTTCAGAGGCAACTGAATCTAAAGAATGATGTAGGGCACAGTGGGCACACTTTTGACCATTAAGAGCATTTAAAATAAGATAAACACACTTTTCATTTATTTTTCTTAGGTTTGAAGGATAGTATGAAAACCTAGTCCAGAGTTACAGTTAATGCTTTTTATGACTTCCTTTACTGTATTAAATAGATAGTATCCTTCCATAGAGATGCATGTAATAAAAAAGGCCATATGCTCCTGCTGTGTGTTCTGTCCCTTGGTGCCTGCTCATCATTCCCTTGGCATGCTACTTCCTGCTCTTTCCCTGCTTTACAGACATTAATGCTCCTGTGTTCAATTAGCTGATATTCCCAGATGCAGATAAGTGCCAATTTTTGTGCTATGCTTAGAAAAGTTATACTGAGGTTTGTTTGCATTATAAATGGAATCAGAAATGTATGTTCATGGTTACTTGCATATGTAGCTTTGTAAAATGGAGCTATGAGATAGCCTCCTTAATTTATAACCATATATGTATGAGAATGGCTGATGCATCCATGTGCGTCAGCGGCGCTCCCATCAACCCTAAGAGGCAAAAGCAGTAGAAGATTCTAAATGGCAAAAACTATAAGTGATTAGGTAGTATATACTTAGCTTTGAACTAAATTTCATATGACTCCTGGTTATCTAAATTTTCCGAGAAAATGTTCAAAACAGATAAAGTCTATATATTGCAGACTTTTCCCTTTTCCTTTTAATATAATTTTCATATGTATTTATTAATGATTTAAAAAATAATAAAACTTTAATACCCATAAGGTCTCTTATAACAGTTAACAAGTATTAATATATTAGCTTGACTTTCCAAGTTCTTTGGTTGTATGACTGTTCTGATCAAATAATATATGCCTTTAAATATAGCATGAAGCCACCTGCTGAAATTTCACCAATGACACCTAGTACTTATTTGGTAAAATTAACTTCCTGTTTTTATATAGGAAGCTTATAATTTATACTTATAATATACAAACCTATCACTCTTGAGTTTGCCTCCATATAGTCATGGTAAGAAATCAAATGATCTGTAGAAGTATATTTTCTAATATGGTGAGGTTACAAACCCTGACACCAAACAAGACCTTGTAGATATTTCTGAAGCAAGTTTCTTGGTTCCACCACAAATCCGCGGTAGACTAAAGCGCGCTCGACAAAAGCGCGTACGTGATGTCATCACAGCGCGACGAAAACGGCACGCTGTGAGCGGTAAATTTAAAATTAACGCGAAAACCTTACCCTAACCCCCCCAAACCTAACCCTAAACCTAAGCCTAAGCCTAAGCCTAACCCTTAACCTAACCCTTAACCTAACGCTAACCCTTAACCTAACCCTAAACCTAACCCTAACGCTTAACGTAACCCTAAACCTAACCCTAACCCTTAACCTAAACCTAAACCTAACCCTTTATGTGAATTGGCTTGCTTTAATTTTATTTTAATTTAATTTATTTTTAATTTTATTTGTCGTGCTGCTGATGACATCACGTACGCACTTTGATCGGGCGCGCTTTAGTGGACCGCGGTTTTGATGGGTCACGAGTTTCTTACACATATGGTGGTCTTGGGGTAACCCAGAAGTTGAGCAGCATGAAGAGTGACTTCCCCTATCATAATGGTCCAGCAAGCTATGAGAAATAAAACTGCTTTCAGTATGTAGCGTATGGCATACACTGCAGGCAATGATCTCACATTTGGGGCACATTTTTCCAGTGTGAATCTTTTCCAAGGAGAAGACCTCCTCTTTTTTTGCCTTCAACTTCCTGGAGTCTCTTCTCCTCAAGTCTCCTTTCTTGTCTTCAAAAAGGAATGTCTTTTCATTGAGACTGAAAAGCCAAAAGACAGATAAATGGTCTAAATGGAAGTAAATGAATTATATCAGTTATTTATGCAAATATGAGGTGAGCCAAAATCCAGTCTGGGCATCCCAAATGAGACTTTTGCATTATAGGAAAAAAAGGAAAAGTTTTAGCTAAGGCTGAAGTATGGACTAACCTTCAGTATTTGGACTATTGAGAGCTATTGGGGGGGGGGATTACCTAGGATGGCATAGGTGAATGTCCCAATATGAAAATGAATATGAATAACCAGCACCAATGGAGTAAAAATGCCTTCAGTATAGTTACATAATACCAGGCAAAGGAAAAGTTTCATTA